GGACACATGGACGTTGGGAGATTGAGGGTTGAAAAGAAGCATAGCAAGCAGATGGAGCCGCTTGCTGAATTTGAAGCATAGTCATCTTCTGATGTTTGGTAGCGTTGGAGGTGCTGTGACTGCGAGTCCTCCAACTACATTTTGCGAGTGTGTGATGCGAAAGTGTTTGAATTTTGGCGCCAGAGAATTTCGGGTTTTATTTAGCACACTATAGGGCCTAGGTACTATTCAAACCGGCCAAACAAACTAATCCCATCGGTTTAATTTGTGACTTGAAAATTTGTGTAAGTAGTTGCACCAAACAAAATAGAATTTGTTTTGTGCAATGGTATATATTTTGGTAATCAAATTGGTTTTGATTCCAATTTTTGACAATAGTAAACGTTTTTAATGGGTATCCGTTTTATTTTCATTTCGATTTTTGACAATGATTATGATTTTGATGGGAATCAATTTTGTTTTCATTTCAATTTCCAACAATTAGTAAACAATTTAATTGGAATGTCTCACTCTGATTATTGATTAGTAAACATGCTCTGGAAGTCTAAAAAGAGTGTGTAATCTAAAACCAAACTAGAAAGGAAAAGCTTGAGTTAACTAGACAAGAAGTTGAAAGCTCTTTATCTGCTTTAGGGTTTGCAATGGTCTTGGCTGCTGTTAGTGGGCTTTTTTATGTTTGTTTTGCTTGTAAGAGTCGTTTTATGGTGAGGGTACCATATATGGACCATAGATGTTAACCTTCATATTAGCCACATAATTCATTTGAATAGTAACTTCACTTAAGTTCAATGAAATGATCTTGTGGCTAATATGAAGGTCCACATGAGGGGTCCATATATGGCACCTCCACTATAGAATTTTGCTTATTTGTAATGTTGTTAGGCTTTGTTTAAATGTCTTTATCTTTTGGCCTGGTGTAATGTTTTGTTTCTAGTCATGAAACTTTCTCGACCAAAAGAAAAACAAGAAACACCCAATTTAACCTCACCTAGCCTAGTAGATGGCATGTATTTTCAAAATTCCAATCCATTTTTGTAAGTTGTTTGGTACATCTAGGTTGGCCCAGGCTACACTGGACTTAAGTCCGTTGTTTGGTACAGGTATAGGTTGGATTGTTGTAGACTTAAATAAAAATTTATTTGAAATTTGATTTTAATATTTATCAGATTATCTAATATCATAATTTATTAATTTATTTAAGGGTACTGATTTTCCCACTCCCCTTTTATCCAATTACACTCCATTTTTTTTAAAATTGTATATTCTTACTTCTCTTTTGTTCACTTACACTCCCTTTTATCTTATAATAAAAAATATTAAAAAATAAAAGGGAATTTAGGTGGATAAAAGGGGAGTGAGAAAATTACCACCCTTATTTAAAAGAAAAGTACACAAAAAACTTTGTAGTTTGTGTTTTTGGCCAGTTGTCGCGTGGTCTCAAAAAAGACTTCAAATTAAAAGCGTGTATTTATTTATTAATTACATAGGATGCATGCATATGCTTTTTTTTTTATTGTCCCATTAATTTGTTATTATTATTTATACAAGGATTATTTAAATTGTTATCTCATAAACATTTGGTCAAGAATAAGGATATCTAGTTCATCATAATACTATGCTCTACTTGAACATATCTTCCCTTTTGTCTTCTCATATTGAGCAAATTTATCGTAGAATATTTTAGATTCAGTTATAGAGAAATTACGTTACTATCAGACTATTTGTGATTCAACATTGTTTGTGTATCATGGCATTCTATAGCAAAGCATAATAAAAATCAAATGTGCCAAGACGACACCCCAATGCTCTTGATTCATACTAGAAAAAGTGGTATATGGAGTTTGTACAATGTCGAGGAAGACAAGGTCCTACGTTTGCAATTAAAAATTCCAAATAAGCAATGTTATGGTTCCAAACAAGGATTTAAGTATCAAGGGTTTCAAAAATATCGGTGGTCCAAAAACACAAAAATATCGGTGGTCCAAAAACACGAAAATATCGATGGAAATATCGACAAAATGTCAATATCGATAAAAATTGAATAAAAATGATGGAAAGTGGTAGAAAAACACAGAAATTTGTGATGAAACTTTAGAAGATGTTCAATTAGTCAATTATCTATTGTTTTGACACATTTTTTTTTTAATAAAAAAATGCATTGTATGAGAAGTTTGAGTGATTTAAGTTAAGTATAGCGCAAGCTAACAAACACTGTAACTTAAAAAATGAATAATATGCAAGTAATAAAAGGGGTTTATATATTATTATGTAGGTTAAGAATAACAAATGTAAAGATACATAACAATAATAAATAACTTTTTAAATAAATAAATAAATAAGAGGGATTTATGTAAATACATAACAAAATTATAAATATATATATTCAGTAATAAAAGGGCTTTATATATTGTAAAAATATTAGCAATATGTGTAAGTTTGTTAAATTATATTTTTTATATATGATAATTTCTTTGTTCGAGCAAGTCCATTAGCTTTTCTCTTTAAATAAATATACCATATAAATATAATACAGAAACCAAATTTGACAAGGACATTGCAACAGACCAGGTGGAGGAGAGATCAGGTTTGTCGTCTTTAAGCTGGGCGCAAACAGCCGGTTTCAAGTTTATGAAATTTTGGCTTTTAACTGTCCCTTTGGACTCGGAATTCCATGCGTATTTCCAGCCCAATGCCCAGTGGACAAGGTAGGAATTGGAAGTACATCTAATCTTACGTATTATTATAAAAACAATTTAAAATGTTAATGAATTATACTCTTCTCACGATCTAGGACCCACCTAGATTAGGGACATGGGTAATAATAGGCCTCATCATTTGTACCGCGGGCTCATGGGCTTACGGGGGCCCGCCCGGCCCATTGAAAAAAAGCCCGGCCCGGCCTGTTATGGGCTTTGAGAGGGCCCGGCCCGCTTGGGCTTGGGCCGGGCTTGGGCTTGGGTGTTTGAAGCCCGGCCCGGCCCATAGGCCCGGCCCGATTAAGCCCATGAAAGCCCAGCCCGGCCCGCCCACAAAAGCCCGGCCCGTTAGGCCCGCATACATATATAATTATGTATAAATAAGGGTTTAGGATTAGGATTACATCACTTGAATGACAAATCCCCATCTTTAATTTTTTTTTTTTGTGTTACTTGTTATAAAAATTGTGTTTGTTTCCATTGAATTCTACTCATTCCTAGTTTATAATTGGATGATTAGCACATTAATTTGTGTCATTTATTAATACAACAATTATATATATATATATAATAAGACAAACAACATATCATATCACCAAACATAATCATACCACTAAATATAATCATACTTTTCTTTAACACATCACCAAATGATGAGAACAAAATTAATACAAGTTTTATCCTTAAATTTATAGTTGTTAGTATTTTCTTTTGTTTTATGTAAATCTATTAGAGTATTTATATTGGTTTTTTCCAATCTTGTTTTTATATTTAATGAGTGGTTGTTTTTTCCAATCTATTAGAGTATTTTCTTTTGTTTTATGTAAATCTATCAAGGAAATATGCTCAAGACAACGTGAAAATGTGATTACATACAAAAACATGAAAATGCATACATAAATTTAAAAATCATATGTTTCTTATTATTTTTTAGGCCCATTTCGGCCCGGCCCGTAGGGCTTAGCCCGGTCCGGCCCGATGGGCTTTTTCAAGCCCGACTCATGAGATGGGCTTGGGCTTTGAATTTTCTAAAAAAGCCCGGCCCGGCCCGGCCCAAGTCCATGAAATTTGGGCCGGGCTAGCCCGGCCCGGCCCATTGACGAGCCCTAGGTAATAAAAAAGAATGCACACAATGTCCTCCAGCAAGAGCCTAGAAGAACTTGATCATCGTAGCCAATTCTCTAGATTGACATTATCTTGGTTTCCTCCTGGCAACGATAAAAGAAAAAAGAAAACCAATTATTATTATCTGTAGACAAAAGCAACATCGTAAGAGAAAATAAAATGTTAGCTAGCCTATTTGAATAGGATACCAAACGCCACCCTAATATGATCAAAGATGAAATCCTATTCCCTACTTGATTTGGATACCTACATAATTTCATCTTTGAAAATTGTATTCATAATTTTCAATTGCCTATATAAGGGCTATCTTTACAAACATTATGTCAGTTTCATACTGCATACACTACTCAAAAGACCTAAAAAATTCATCAAGTCTCTATTCGGGTTTTTAATTATGGGTTCAGGTATGTTTTTTCAGATAAACAATTGTGTTTGCATATTAAATCTTTCTTTTGTAATTTTAAACGTTTGGTGGTTTACCATAAAATCATATTGTTTGTAAATCATAATGAATCATGCGTTATTTTGCTTACATGCATTACATCTTCTCGTATTGACACATTTCTTCATCTATTGCAAATATTAACATATGCTTAATACTTTTTACTAATTTTCCATAAATTTAAATTGAGCGATTCTTTTATGTTGCAATTATTTCTACATTTTTTATTTAAAAAAACGAGATAAACCCACATGATCTTTTTTTTATTTTTTTATTTATTTTTTATACAAAACCCACATGCACCACGTGACATGATATCCCAATTCAATATGTATCGTGGTATCACGTGGTGTTACAATTCATCCATTATATAACACTTGTATTTATTGAAAGTATGCATTAATTCAACAATTATTTTGTTTTGTTCCGTGCATAAAAACTCTTTCTTAATTTTGCATATGTAATTTATATATGTATTTCACATAACTATGGTCTCTCCAATTGATATTTTTTTTTTTCCCTTCTTCTCAGATTGGGCAAATTTGCCTGAGCATCTTTTGGACTCAATTTTAAAGAGACTAGTGTCACCTTACTATACACAACCACAACCAGACTATATTCGGTTTAGTGTTGTTTGTATGTCATGGTATTGTGTTGCAAAACATAATAAAAGGCATCGTCCTCCTATGCTTTTGATTCACACAGCCAAAAAAGGTACATGGAATTTATACAACGTCATGGATGGCAATTTCCTTGATTTGCAATTAAAATTGCCGACTAAGCGATTTTGTGGTTTTTCAAAAGGATGGTTAATAGCTATGAACCTTAATTTGGTAATAACCTTAATAAATCCCTTTTTAAGGGTTAAAGGGAGGAAAAAGAGAGACGATTCTATCATTGATCTTCCTCCACTAGATGGTAAAGGTGGTTTTAAACCAGTGATTGCCGAATTTGTCATTAAGGCTACAATCTCAGCCGACCCAATATTGGATGCCAACAATTGCATTGTTGTTGTCATATACGAGGGAAGAGGTCAATTGGCTTTCATTAGACTCAATAAAGACACAACATGGACTTACATTGATGAAAGTTTGTGCTTTATTGAAGATGTTGTTCATTTTAAAGATAAGTTTTATGTTGTTAAACAAGGGGGTGGACTTTTTTCTTCTGATATTACTACTCAGCCAATCTCCAATAAACAATTGGTTGCAGAGGGCATGAAATCCGATCCGTTAGAGAAGACATACCTTGTGGTTTTAAATGATAAAGAATTGTGGATGGTCCAAAGGTATATTAAATTTGAAGACGGCAGTCGTGTGACGACGAAATTTAGAATATTCGAATTGAATTTTGACAAGTACAAGTGGGTTGACAAAAAAACCATAGGTTATTTTGCTATCTTTTTGGGTGATAACTATTCAATATCTGTCTTGGCTTCAAATGTTTCAGGATGCCAGCCGAATTGTATATATTTCAATTGTGATTATGATCGTTACGTAGGTTATAGCAAAAACGGTTTGTGCCATGATTTTGGTGTGTATAATGTTGAGAGTCAAAGATTTTCAAAGCCTTATACCCCAGATGCTAAGGCTCTTATAGAGAAGACCAAGCAACCTCCATATTGGGTGTTGCAAACTTTTCAGTTGTAAAAATATATATATCCTTGTTAGTATTTCTTATTGACTTCAAGCCATGTAATCAATTTTTCTTCTCTAAAAATCTGCATTGGGTTTTAATTTTACTATGTGTATTGTTTTGTAACGTCTGTTAAAAGTTTGTAAGGATTGATGATAACTTCAAAACGATGAGAGACTTTGAGATGTTAATTTCTGGCGCCAATTGCTAAGAGTATTGGAGACTGTTAAGCTAAGAGTATATGGATAGAGAGATAGCTTCAAGTAATTAGGATTTTTACACACAGGAAGAGGCTGCAGCATGTACAAAGTGCTAAAGAGTAAGTCTACTGTCTTGTAGACATTTCCACCGTCTGTGTCTGTATATTTTCAAATTATAGCAATGAAAGAATATTTTGCTCTTAACTTCCAAGTTCAAACTATAAACTGTCTGTCGGATTTGAATTTTGGAGGGACTAACTAACTGACTCCATCATTTCAACTTGATTACAAGTCTTTGACAGTGTCCTATAAACAGTTGAAAGTAACTTCAAACAAAACAGTTCAGTCAATCTAGGTTAGATGGGAACCAAGGTTACAGTGTCTAACACGATAACCGTTAAAGGCGCAAACTTTCTTGACAAGAATCAAAGATTATAAAAAAAAGTCAGCCCTTTCCAATGTATTTTCAGTTTTCAGCTATTCATGCGATCAATGATCACAAAGGCAATAACTGCAGGTGCTTTCACTCTGTGAACCACCAATACGATTTTCTTAGCCATCTGTTACTGTAAAAGTATTAAAGAAAAGCTCTATTTCTTCTAACAATCTCTTATCCCGAAAATCTAATCCTCCAGAATACCTGTCTAGTAAATAGAGATGACTCAGATGACATCATGAATGACATACTCACAAACTTCTCCCGAATTGTACAGGATAGTGACCACCACCTTCCTTTTATGCTCTTCTGCACTTTCATCTTGACTGTTGGCAGTGTACTTTTGTTTTATGCACACCTGCAATGTATAAAATAGCTGCATTAACTCTCTGTTAATCGCACTTCCTTGCTATTAGACTTCTAAATCCTCAAGCATGACTGGAATGACAAAGGGTGGAAATTTAAGGAAACCTATCAGCCAGTTTTCATTCTAAAACCAACTGGACAAAAGTACACTGACTCATTGTTATGTTTGGAGTTTAACGAAAAAAGAAAAGCAAGGAAAGCTTCAATTTAATCCCTTACACTAGCAATTTGTTCCATCTTTAAGAATTCAATAGAGCTCAAAATAAAAGTAGAATTTGTGTGCTCAAATAATTTGGT